CCTGCTGGGCTCCGGCGATCCTTTCCGCCTCAGCCTTCCAAGTAGCTGGAATTACAGGCATGTGCTACCACGCCCGGCTGATTTTTTGATTTATTGTAGAGATGCGATCTCACTGCCCAGGCGGGTCTCGAACCCGCGGGCTCAGGCAATCCACTCACCTCAGCCTCCCAAAGGCGCGGGATTACAGGCTGAGCCACCAAGCCCAGCTCTGTTTATAATCTTTTGAGTCAGTGTCTCTCTCTGTCACCTAGGCTGGAATGCAGCGGCATGCTCACAGCTACCACAGCCTCAACCTGCTGGGTTCAGGCAATCCTTCTGCCTCAGCCTTCCAAGTAGCTGAAACTACAGGTGGGTGTCACTACACCCAGCTAATTTTTTTATTATTGCAGACATGAAGTCTCATCAAGTTGCCCAGGTTGGTCTTGAACTCGGCTCAAACAATCCTCTCAACTCCACCTGCCAAATTGCTGAGATTACAGGCGTGAGCCACCACACCTAGCTCAGTCTATATATTTTAAGTGGAAAGTATAATTCATTTATACTCGAGTTTATAACTAATATGTGAGGTTTTTTTCTGTCATTTTGTTAATTGATTTCTGACTGTTTTGTACGTTTTGGTTGTCTTTTTTCTTTCTTATTGTTTATCATAGAAGGTTGGTGGTTTTATGCAGTGATGCCATTTAAGTTCCTTCTTATCCTCGTGTGCATGTTTGCTTTACCAGTTGGTTTACTTTTTGTGTTTTTATTATAGTAAATATTTTCCTTTTGCTTCCATGTGCAGGACTCCCTAAGTATTTTTCATATGGCCAGCCTAATGACAATAAATTCCCTCAGTTTTTGTTTGTCAGGATAAAACTTTATTTTTTTCCTTCATTTATGAAGGATAACTTTGCTGGTATAGTATTCTTGGCTGACAGATATTTTTGTTTTCCTTTCAGCACTTTGAATATATCATACCCTTTTCTACTTGTCTGTTTCCTTTCTTCTGAGAAGTATGCTGTTCATCTGATAGAGGTTCCCTTATAAGTGATTAGATGCTTTTCTCTTGCTGTTTTTTTAGAATTCTTTCTTTGGTTTTGACTTTTGAAAGTTTGTAATGCACTGTGAAGAAAATCTTTTCAAATTGTTTCTGTTTGAGGATCTCTAAGCTACTTCTATATAAATGTCTACCTCTCTTGTAAGACTCACAAATTTTTCAGCTATTATTTCATTAAATACATTTCTTCCTTTGTTTCCTCTTTTGCAACACCAATAACTTGAATATTTGGCTGCTTTATGATATCACATATGTCATATGGGCTTTGTTCATTTTAAAAAATTTGGTGTGGTATATATTCTTTTACCTTCTTTATCTTAAATTTTTGTACATTGATATCTGGTGTAATCATCCCTTCTTTCAATTTCTTGAATTTGCTTTTATTGAGGAGTTTTTCTGAAGATATATCTATGATGTTGGTTGTGTAGGGCACTTCGGTTTTGATTCTGGATGCATCTACTGTATGGTCTTCATATGATTTATTTGACTCCAAATAGCCTGAAGAGTATCTATGATTTCCTCAGTGTCTTAAAGTACAGGTGTTAGTGGATGCTGCAGTAAAGTTTTACTGAGTCTGTCCTCAGCTCTTAGTGATGGCAGAGGTAAGCCAAGCATGCTTGTCTTTGGACCCTAGAGTAGCATACGAGGCACTTAGGTTAGCAGGTCCAAGTGGGCTGATTCCTGAACCTTCTGCCTTCTTTCTTTGGTGCTAGTGGTAGTAGCAGTGGTCCAAGAAGGCAGGCATGTTCTTGGGATCCTGGGCAGCTAATGTGGTGTAGGCAATGGCAGTAGTAATACTGGAACAAACTTCTGTCTCCTGAGCAATTTGCACTGGTGTTGGCAATAGCTGTAGTGAGTTGAGCATGCGAGTGTTTGCCAGCTGTAGTGGTAGTGTCAGGTTAGGTAAGCTTGATCTCAGGTCCTTGAGAGGAGTTCTAAGGTATCAACAGACTGGACAGGGTGGTCCTCAGGTCACCAAACTATGTGCTCAAGTACTAAGGGTGGAGAGCTGAGCTGAGTGGACCTTTTCTCAAGACACTCAGTGGTTTGCAAAAGCACTGACTGGTAGGCAGGGGTGAATTTATCCCCAGACCTGCAACTGGTAAGGGCAACATTGATTTCAGTGGCAGCAGCCAAATGGAAGTATCTAAGGAGTGTGTACGTCACTTGTGACTCAATCTAGTGGCAGCAGCCCACAGAGGTGGTTGCTGCAAGCAGGGGAGTTTGTCTTCAAGCTTAGTGAAAATGCATGGAAGTTTTGCTTCTAGGGGTGTAGGATCTTTGCCTATGGCTTGTGCTTCAGCTCTAGTGGCAGCAGCCGATTTTAGCAGTGGCTGCAGATAGGGAATGTTAATGCTTCCAGAGATGTGGAGATGCATGGATGGTCAAGATGCAGTCTGATGAAGACTAGGCTCTCAATAAGTTACATTGCGATAGCTGTCAAAGCTGGAGGTGGGTATGGTATCCAGCATGAACTCTCTCTAAGAGCAATGCCTTTGTATGGTCTCCAGGCAGCAGCTTGCTGGTCTCAAGATCTGTGAGAATCTAAAGCTTTTCCATGGCTAGCATGCAGAAGTTCATAACGGAAATGTGGGCCACTGGGTTTCACTCACTTACCCTTTCTATACATTGAGGAGCTGCTCCAGGGTTCCAGGCAATCCTGACCAAGCAGGTTACCTTTCTTCCTTCTCCTTTCTTGCTTTAAGTGTTTCCTATCACCTCTTTGTTGAACTCTCATGTTCTCTCCTTGATAATCTATCTGAAGTGTGATTATCTACCCCCTTTTTTCATTTTTCTTTGTGGAGAAGGTGAGTACCATATGCCTCTAATCAGCCATCTTGAAACTCTTCCCCTCAGAAGCTCCTTATTATTGTATACTTATTTCAGTTAACTTGAGATTAAAATTTGCTTTATTAGATTTTTGAGGATTAAGTAAGACAATAGGATGCATATTTTATAATCTACATCATTGAAAAATCTTGGGGTGTGAGGTTATATGAACACTTGAAGAAAGAGAGAAAGGGAAGGGAAAAGATGTAGATGAAAATGAAAAAGAATGATAAAGGTGAGATTGTTTGCAAGTGTATGTTCCCTGAAATATGATCTACATGGTTCCCCTCATATTTAACATGTCTGGCATTGGGCAGGGGAAGCTTGAGAACAATGCCAAACTAAATCATTGCGAAAAAAATAATAAATAGTGTTCACTGTACATTCTGTACAAATTGTTTTAACGTGCTTGTTTAAAGTGTTTACTTTATGAAAATGTTAGCCTTCTCTAGTTCCTACACAATAGAATGGATTCTGAATTAAACTTGTCAACCAAATTTAATAACCTACAATAATTAATGTCTAAGGGTTAGCTAGCTATATCTACTAAAAATAAAAGGAAAGGTACATTAACTCTGATTTGCTTGAGTCACAATGGCAATTAAGCTTAGCAGACTGATCAGATATTACAGTCTATCTCTAAATTACTATACCAAATCACTTCTCTGTAGGCAATAAAGAGTTCAAACCTAATCTTACTGTGTTTTTATATTAGTTTTCTCTCACTACTATAACAAATTATCACCAACTCAATGTCTGAAAATAACATATTTATCTTACAGTTCTAGAGATCATGAGAAATTGAAATGTGTCTATCAGGCTAAAAGCAAGGCTTCAATAGGAAAACTCTATGGAACGATCTGTTTCCCACCTACTTCTAGAAGTTGTCAGTATTCTTTAGCATGTGGTCCCTTCCTCTGTTTTCAAATTAAGTATGGCTGATTGAGCCTTTCTCATGCTGCATCACTGACAATGAGTTTTCTGACTTCCTCTTCCACATTTAAGTACCCTTGTGGCTACATTGGGCCCACCTGGATATGCCAGGAAATCTTCCTACTTTAATATCAGCTGATTAGCAGATTTGAAATTTATTTGCTACCTTGATTTTCTTTCATCACACATTATTGCATATTTAAATGTTCTGAGGATTTAAACATTTGCAAGTTTGAGAGTCCACTATTCATCCTTTATTCTTCTCTGAGTCCCAATAACTAACACATTATATTGTTCTGCTCTTGCTGGTCTCTTTTTGCAAAAATTCAAGCACATGTAAGGGTGGTTCAAGTAAGTTTATTACAAAATATTATCCCATGAGTTGAAATAACCTAAGATGGTGTTTTGTTTTGTTTTTTCTTTTCAGGAATGGCAGTTAAATATCTCTTGCTTTTGGTTGCTGCTGCTGGCTTACTGCCTGTTTTGGCCATGAGAGTATGTGAGGATTGTATGTTTCAAAATTACTTTCTAAACAAAAATAAGAGCTAGCCCTTAAATAGAACTCATACGTTATGGTACTATTGAAAGGGCACTACACCCATTCACCTTGGTCTCACAATAGCTCTGTTAAACAAGTACTTATCTTAATACCATCTTATAACAGGGAGAAGCAACAAATAGAGAGGCTGTGTCATATGGCCAAGGTCAAATGACTAGGCTGTAGCAGGGCCTGAAATTAACTTTAATTAGTTTAACTCCATGGGCCTATATCTGTTTCATTGTAGCCCTCTGAATAATATAAAAAAAGCCAAAGCTGTAGGACAGAAACTACTTCTTTACAACTAATTCATGCATTTTCCATGAGTAAATAGGGGAAGGAAAGACACTGTTGTTGTTTTTTTCCAGACAAGGTAAATATTTTATCAATATCCCACTTGAACTATATAATTTGTGACTAAAACAAGAATTTAACACATCAGAATTAAATATAAAATGGAAAGGTGCCAACAGCAAAGAGAGAGATGTGAGGAGCTGTTAGCGATGGAATCAATATATGAAGCTTGAATCTCTTTACTTATCAAAAACAAGAATGTCAACAATCACAAATAAATAAAACACTAAATAGTATATTAAGTAGTGGATCCCTAATATTTTGTGATCAGCCAATAATATTTACCTTTAAATAACCTCAATGACATGAAGAAAATAATATATATTTTAAAAATAATTTTATGATAAGCTGAATTCAGTAGCTTTAGTAGAAAATGAGTGCCTTTTATATTTTTGTAAGCCAGGTAAGAGAAGTAAAAAATGGAAAGCATTAATTCTATTGATAAAAGAAATGTATCTGCATTAAGCTATTAGGGTGGTGATTTGGTGTTTGTATACTATCACTCACCCTGGTCCTCAAAGAGAGACTAGGTAGAGTTCTTGTCCAATACCTAATGATCCCCCAGCAAACTGAAATCAGAGTCTTGAAGATCTCTTTATTCCCTCTGATTCTCTAAGCACTTTACTTCCACAACGTGAAAAGGTAATCTTTACACTTTACAATAAGTAAAAAGTAACCTGAAGCATAACCACCATTTCAGAAAAACAAGAGAAAAGCAGGCAATCAGACACATGCATTTGTCTTCAAAATCCAGCACTAGGCTGTCTAGATCACTTAGTCCAAGTTCTAGAAGACAGCCTAGACTGGGTTGCCATGTGAAAGGAGAAATTAGCACCAGAGCAAAATGTAGATAGGTAGAACTCTTCTCATCTAAGTAACCAAAACCTAATCCACTTATTGACCAAGTATCCAAAAGAGAAATAGAAGGTACTGATAGAAGCAACATGTTTACATTCTATAACAGAGAATTATTGAAACATTTGCATACATTCTATAAACAGTTTGCTCATACAATGAATGCTTGACATTTTTAATTTAAAACAATAAAACAAATTAATCCCCAAAACTGATGTATTACATAAACTTTAAACATGAATCCCAGTTAAAGTAAATAATAAAGTGTTTCAAGCTCAACAAAAATAGCATTATATTTTCTTTAGTCAGACTTCAGGTAGAAAATAAGTAGATAACCATCAGGCCTGAATCTTATTTTAAACTTTCTCCAGTATTAGAGTTGCTGGGATACTAGGCATCTAATCGAACAGAAATTGTTCTCCTACTGAGAGAATAATTTTACACGAGAATCTGGTAGTCATTACAGAAAAAAACCTTTGACAGAAAAGTACAGGGAATCGTGATCAGAAAATAACCAGGCCCCATCTTGTCTGAGGTAATTAGAGACTTCTCTGAGTATATGGTAGACCTGAGATCTGAAAGATAAGTTGGCCTTGCAAGCTAGCAGAATACACTATCAAAGGGACAAGTATGGGTAAATATTATAAAGCAGGATGAAAACTGGCATGTTGGGATAACTAAAAGAGAAAATCAGTGTGACTACAGCAGAGAAAAGTAGGAGCGCATATCCTTAATAGAGGCTGAGAAATAAGCATGACCTTCAAAGGCCTTGGTAAACAGTTCATCTTTCTATAAATTGTAAACTGTTGAAGACGTTTAGCAGGAAAGTGACTTCATTGTGACTGTGTTTTGAAATTTTTATTCCAGTTATTGGCTAGAGAATGAAGAAGGGATCAGGGAGTGGGAGAGAGAATATGAGTAGTAAAGCATTAGCGGATTCTGGGAACCCAGTGGAAGACTAGGTGGTAGCCTCAGTCACTTGAGGTGAAAGAACAGGAGCTGTCTGAGAGGCAAGAGGAAAATGGAGTGGATGCGTTGTCCTCTTTACACTGAGAGAAAGAGTATTTCCACACTGAAAGCTTAGTCAAAGGAGTCGGCTACTAATAGACCAAGTAATTGCGATAAAGTCATTAAAACAAAATTAGTTATAAAAATCAGGCTTGTCACAGATCTTAATAGGAATTGTTTCAATGTGGGGTTTCTCCAGCTGTATTGACATTTTATATAGGATAATTATATGTTGTGGGAGGCTGCCCTCTGCCTGTCCTCTATCCACAAAATGGCAGGAGCATTCCCCCTACCATTATGCCTGTTGTGACAATCCCAAATTTATCCAGACATGCCAGAAGGGAGGGGAGAATCATTTCTGATGTAGAACAACTGTTTTATTGGAAACATGAAGGTAGGGTGAATCCAAGACTATATTACTTGGGCAATTGTAGACAGATTTGGCAAAATTTTCCAGAATTTTGATAGGGTAGGAGAATAAAGAGAACAATAGTTGGATGAGGATGTGAATAAATAAACAGGTGTTTGTTTGCTTCTTTACTTTAAGATACAAGTAGCATAATCATGAATAAACACCGTTGGGAAGGGCCAAGGAGAAAGACTGACTTAAGATACACAAAAATAATTGAAAAGAAATAATGTGAAATTTTTAGGAAAGATGGAAGAAAATGGACTAAATAACACTAGTGGAGAGTTGGGTCTTAGAAAGAATGAGTCATTCTCTAGGATCACAAAGAAGAAAAAGAAGGAGGAGGAGAGGGAAAAAGGGAGGGAGGGATGGAGGGAGGGGGAAAGAAAAGGGAGGAGAAACGGGACAGAAACAGGTAAATTGGCAGATTGGACATGAGAGTTGAAGAGTCCTCTGATCTCTTCTCTTTACTGAAGTAAACAGAATATTTCACAAACTATTAACAGAAGGTATTTGTTAATAGTTAATAGGATAGAGTGCAAAAGTTTGATAATAATGTTGATAGTGTGTTAGATAATTGTTTAGAATTGAGCAGAATTAAGGGACACTGAAGTCACTCATACTGACTTAGGACGATACCAATATTTGTCATTTTGTGGGATATTTTTCTGACAATCTTCAGCCGGCAGTACAGGCAGGGGAACTGTTAGTCTCATTCAAGTTTGGGGTATTTTCAGGCAGGTATTTCTAGATTACAATGTGTAGACAAACGATTCAATATTTTATAAAGAAAATTGTTGCAATGAGAGAACACAGATAAAAAAGAAAGAAAAGACAAGAGAAGGATAGTAGAGAAAATGTAGAATGAGTCTGAAGTCTAGATTATTTTGAAGAATAATCAGAGTTGTTGACCTCAGCAACTTGAAAGAACAGGAAATCCTGGTCAGGCGAAGAAATGTTTGACCAGGTAATCTGGGAAGTATGGTGTTTTGGGATGGTCATGAGACATAGTTGGTGACCATCAAAGTGGGTAGCTAAAGAGGACTGAAGGACAGGTTTAAAGGAGGAAGGTTTCAAGTGCCTAAGATATCATAGGGTTGGGGTCATCCATGTTAAAGTTTAATAGCAGATTAGAAATCTGGGTGTATAGGATCTATTTCCCTAAAAATAAAAAAGTTTCCTAGAAGGAGAGGAGAGGAAGTGAGAAGAAAATCCATGATAGGATATTAAACAAATGTTTGGGAATGACGTGGTAGAGGCAAATGCCATGAGTTTCACTAGTGCAGAGGTTTTCAGAGCAGTAAGGAGAGTTATAATGTAAAAACCATGCAGAATCTCGTGGGTCCTCAACTTCACTCCAGTCCAAACCAGAGTGGCTTGCAATGTAAGACAAAAAATGGTACCACATGAGTATGTCCACAGGGACAGTCTCTAGAAGAGTCTTCTGGATTTCATATTTATGCCTTCTCCCCACACTGTAAAACTGTTGATACAAAATAAATGACAACAAAGCCTTCTATATTTGGGCAAGGTATAGTGCTGGATTCTGCACATTCATAAATTGTGCTGACAGTCATATAGTAGTTGAGGAAGAAACAGACACCACTCAAATTATAGTACATTTAGTTTTTCACATTTTTAAAAAAGTATGAAGTACATGTGATACATGTACATTACAAACACACACACGTGCTCTTTCTAGAAATTAATGCTAACATAAAATATTTCAGTCATGCATTTTTTTCTTAGTGAGCTGCAGGACAAAAGGTGAGAATATTAAAAGAACAGTCACAAATTCCAGATTGTAAGTTGATTTTGAACTCTCTATTATACTTCCTTACACATACACTTGCAAGCATCAATGTTTTCTCATTTGAACAGAAAAAACATACAGAATTTGAGTCAATAGCACTTTAGACATTGTACCCATTGATGAATCTCTTAATATGTGTGTGTGTTCTCTCAGACACACACCACTAGGCAAGGATTAAAATACAAGTAGTTCATTTGGAAAGCTAAGAGAACACTTGTTGGAGGATAGGGGTTGGAGAATGAGTCTAGGAAGGGAAGTCACTTAGTAAAAAGTGTGATTTCAAGACATCCCCATTGTAGCTCTTATTGTCCAATAAAAAGTGCTTCAACGTGGTCCAAACTATGAGTCATAAATATGAAAAATCTAATCACAGAATAACCAGTGCACTATTCTAAGGTCTAATGTAATGTCAGCCCAACCTTCAGAAATCCTCAAAACTAGCACTGGAGAAATGGAATCTAATATGCTGAGGTATTTTAAATTCAAAAAATGATGTAGAACCCTGTCTATTTAATATAAACTATAAATTCACCATGCCTATAGATCTGCATAATATGTGACAAGTCCCAGTTGAAATAAATAACACTAATGAATAACTTTCTGGCAACAGGTAAAACCAGCTAAAGTCCAATTTGATAAACTCCTCACTGAGATGGAAAATGTACAAGAGGAAATTGTTAATGTACACAACACCCTCAGGAGAGGAGTGGTTCCCTCAGCCGGCAACATGCAGAAGATGGTAAGATCAAACAACAGCAGTGATCAAAATAATAGTAAAAGTGTTTACTGAGATTTCATTGGGTTATGTAATCTTTCAGTATACTATAAGTATGGCCTTCAGAGCAAACCTATGATATAGTAAAAGAAAGAACAAAAGCCCAGAGGAGATAAGTAACTTTCTGACAATCATACAGTCAATGATGGGCAAAATTTCCAACAGTCACGTCTTCTTATTTCTATGTACCTTAGGACAGTGTTTCCCAAACTTTAATGTACTTAAGAATCACCTGAAAAACTCAACAAAGCACAGTTTCCTGAGTCCTTTTCTCTGATATTCTGATTCAGAAGGTCTGACATGAAGACCATCACAATCTCCCAATGGATGCTGCTTCTGCTCATACACATACCAAACAACAATTAACAAGTTATCCAGACATTTCATAGCTGTCCTCATTGGGCAGTAGCTCAGAGGCTGAGACACTCATCTGAAAATTAAGATGTCCAGATATTTAGCTTGTTGATGTGTCCAGGAAAATAAATGCTGGTAAATCTACTCCCCAGTTTCACTGTATCTCATAAAAGCTTAGAGAAATTGTCTTTCTGCTATAAACCTGGTGTGCTCTTCCACAAGAGCAATTTAGGGGAGTCTCAGCTGTATGCGGTAATTAGTTTCACATTTATCGTCCAGCAGTATCTCTCGGGTTTATGCACAACTTCAGCCTGCTTCCTTGGACTCTGTCCTGGCCTAGAGGAACTAGGGTTAGAAATAGTGCAGGCTCTGCAGGGTGATTCTAAGGAACAACTTTCTCTTGCATATGATGAAGAGGTAGTAAGAGAATAAGTAGAAAAATGATGCTGAAGTGTATCCCTTGGTCATTTTGAAATCCAAAGTGATATTTGAACAAAAAAATAAAAAATCAATCGTAGCCGGGCTCGGTGGCTCAACCTGTAATCCCACGCCTTTGGGAGGCTGAGGTGAGTGGATTGCCTGAGCCCGCGGGTTTGAGAGCCGCCTGGGCAGCGAGACCTCGTCTCTACAATAAATCAAAAAATCAGCCGGGCGTAGTAGCGCATGCCTATACTTGGAAGTCTGAGGCGGAAGGATCCCCGGAACCCAGCAGGTCGAGGCTGCAGTGGCCAGGAGCGGCCACTGCACTCCAGTCTGGGTGACAGAGTGAGACTCCAACTCAAAAAAAAAAAAAATCAATCGTTCTCACAGACCTTCTTGCATAGAGTTGTAGCATGAGTTACATGTTACAATGTTATTGTACATGAGTTACAATGTTATTGACAGGCATTCTTGTAGTACCTTGTTACATTAACTCATTTAATTCTCCCAATACCATCATCTCAATTTTACAGATTATGTATGGTACTGAGCCTCAGGGAAATCCAAGTCACTTACTGAAATTATGAGTGCTGCAGCCCAGATTCTAATGCAAATTGACCAGCTCCAGGGATCTAGTTCTTTTTTATTATTGTTGTTGTTCTTATTAAGATGTGGGAACAATTCAGGTTTAGGTATAACAAACTTTGATTATGCAGGCACCCTTGTTGATGAGGTATACCTCTCCCTCCCCTAGCAGTTTCCTTTAACTGCCAGGCCCACTCCCACTCCCCTGACAGTTTCCCACTACTGCCAATCCCTTTCTTATAGTATAATAATTGTTTAAGATCTGCTATGAGTGAGAACATATGGTACTCTGTTCTTTGCTTCTGTGATAGATCGTTGAGTATGATAGACTCTAAATCCATCCAAGTTGCTTTGAAGTCCATATGTTTGTCTTTCTTTATGGCTGCATGATATTCCATTCTGTATATGTATCACATTTTTTATCCAGTTCAGCTTCAATGGGCAGCATGGTTGCTTAATGTTTTGCTATTGCGAATAGAGTTGCAACAAATATACGTGTGCAGGTATCTTTTTTGTAGAATGATTTGAGTTCCTCTGGGTATATTCCCAATAGGGGAATTGCTGGGTCATATGGAAGGTCAATTTGTAGTTCTTTCAGAAATTGCCACACTGTCTTCCAGAGAGGTTGCACTAGTTTGCATTCCTACCAGCAGTGTAGAAGTGTTCCTTTTTCTCCGCTTCCTCGCCAGGCATCTAGTTCTTAATCATATACCTTCCTTAGAACAGACTCTAAATTTCTTGGTTTCCAGATAAGCAAAGGAGTATAACTAAGAATTATAAAAGAGATTAAAGAAAAAAATTTAAAAATCCTCTTATTGTGGAGATCTTATTATTGAAGATGAATGGCAAATACAAAGGAAAAATTGGAAAATACGAGAATGAATATATCCAAGTTCTAAGGAATAACATTATAAAATATCACCAAGATGAAAAATTAAGTATACCAGCAAAACTGATCAATATTTCAAAGGAAATACAGGGCCTAGCTCTTCCATAAACAATGCATAAGATATGAATAGGATTGACCTAATAGAATTAGCAGCAGCAAATTTAAAGAACAATAAGCCGGGCTTGGTGGCTCAGCCTGTAATCCCGCGCCTTTGGGAGGCTGAGGTGAGTGGATTGCCTGAGCCCGCAGGTTTGAGACCCGCCTGGGCAGCGAGACCTCATCTCTACAATAAATCAAAAAATCAGCCGGGCGTGGTAGCGCGCTCCTGTAATTCTGGCTACTTGGAAGGCTGAGGCGGAAGGATCGCCAGAACCCAGCAGGTCGAGGCTGCGGTGGCCAGGAGCGGCCACTGCACTCCAGTCTGGGCGACAGAGTGAGACTCCAACTCAAAAAAAAAAAAAAAGAACAATAAGACTGAAGAGTTAAACAAAATTACAGCGATTTTCTAAAAAATAAAAAAGTGTCTTACATAATATTAGGACCTAGTTAAGTAGAGTCACTTGCTAAAGTCAGACTTTGATATAACTATAAATACTCATTTTAATTGTAATTTTGAATATATAATAAAGAGTATATAACTGACATTAATCAGAGGTAATGTTCCAGACAGCTTCTCCAAAGTAGTCTGAACTGTAGACTGAATATAATGAGTGTTTCAGGTAAGTTCCCCAAATAATATAAGCAGACTCTGAGATGGGGATAGCATGCAGGATGTCCACTGAGAAACAATCCAACGATTTGGAAATGACCTGCCAAGGCAAGGAATTTGCCCATGGAAGATGGCAATTTTCAGAAAGAGTGATAGTAGAGCTATCCCCAGGTGAGATTCCAAGATTCTGGGGGAGTGAGTTCTTCAGTGCAGAAAGAGACCTGGGGAGCACATCACAGCACCCACATCACAGCATACACTACAAGCAGTCAGCTGTGTTTTAGCCAGATAAATTTCACTTCTAGGTAAGTTTTCTTTACTACTGAGTACAATGGTATTCCCCCTTCCCAGAGATCCTATGCACTGTGGCATCTCTATCCCTTCACTTAGACATAGCTAAGACTAAAATACATCTTTTCTTATATGAGACAATCAAAACTTGCAAAGCCATGTTTCTACTCAATACTAGGCTAAGGAGTTATTTAATTCACCTGATGGCCTAGTAAATGCTTCAGTGTGAAGGGTAATTCTAGAAAATTACCACGAGATGGCAGCATATACATATGATAGCTATACTTCCCATGCCTAAGACATTATTGAAATTATCAGTGTCATTCAAACATTCTAGAGTCTCTGGATGATTTACATAAAAGCCTATGGTAAAAACAAACTCTACAATTCTGTTGGCCATGTAGATATATGGACAGTATTTTGAGTGGATGTATATACACTGTGATGACCAGAGTGTTAGAGAGATAATGTGTCACATTGTCAAACCTATGGCTGACTTTTCACCTTACTTGGAGAACAGCTGCTACTGTCATAACTGAAAAAAATGCTTCAACTCAGTACAGTTGACCCACGTTGAGAGTTGAGAACACACACTCTGAAGCCAGCCTAATTGAATTCATATTTTCTTCACTTATTGTTATTATGATCCCTAAAAGTTATTTTAAACCCCTATGCTTTAACTCTGTTGTTTGCAAATGGATATAATAATATTATCACCTTTGCAGAATTGCTGTGAAGTTAAATTGAGGTAAAAATACATATAGAATTGATGACAGATTCTGACATGTGGCGTTAGCTATTATTTGTACTATTATTCATAATTTTAGATGGAGTATGTGACTCTATACTTGCTTCCAATCATAGCTATCAGTTTTTATTGGGCACATAGCATAAGACTTCACACATTACAGTTGTATTGCTTGGAGTATCACATTTGATTTTTGAACAAACCTTTGGGTATTAGCTATAGGTCACATTTTACAGAAAGAAAAAAATAATGTGTCTGAGGTAAACCTACTAATAAATGACTGGGCTGAGTTTATAACTTTGATCTGTTTTACCGAGCATTTGCTTAATTTCTATACTATATCGGAGAGGGAAGTTCCATCCAAACATTATTCCCAAGTTTTGAATTTATGAATTCAAGGACCAATGCAATGAATTGAAATGTATATTTCTCTCTTCCTACCAGAATATTTAAGAGTAATCTCATTATTTAAATTTTAGTTTGTACGGTTGAAGAAACTGCAAATCTTGGATTTTTAGAAATAATAGCTAAAATCAAATCATGAAAATGTTAATTGTCGAATCATGTGCTTCCCCCCCCCCACTATAGAGTTGGAGTGAAGAGGCAGCACAAAATGCCAGGATTTATTCAAAGTATTGTGATGCAACAGAGAGCAATCCACTTGAGAGGAGACTTGCAAGTAAGTTATGTCTGAACGACCCACCTTTTTACTCAAAACACAATAATAAGCAGGGATTGTTAAGTAAGCTGGCGAGAGTAAGTAAACTCATCTAGTCTATATTTGCATTTGCTCATGCATGATATTGAATGGTGGCTTTAGTACACCATTTAATTATTTTTAAAACTTAGATATTCAAACTTTCACATTCCAAGTTATGACCATCAGGAGAAAAGAATCAAAGCTTTCAGTATTGTTGAAGAGTTGAGTGCAGCTAGAAACCTAGAAGGTTTCCATTCTATGCGGTTATCTCAGCTACCGAACAATAGCACCATGGGGGTTCATTTAGCTTTGGAACAATAACACAGTTGAGAAATGAGTTATTGTTGGGCTGCCAATAAGACAAATTTAGGTACTCAAAATTGAGCCTATCTTAAAGCACATAAAATAGATAATGTACTACTAGTTTCCTGGAAACTAATATTTTTTTTTTGTACTTTCTATGTACATAGTCATTAATACCATCTATGAGAATTTCTTTTATTAAAAAGAACTTAAAAGTACTAATGCAATTTTTGTGTCTATAGATTGTTGGGAATCTTAGCCCAATGCTGTTGATCAGTGAATTAACAACATGGGTCTTCCCTGTCCCAGATATAAGCAGATTGCTCCTGAATATTATATTCAACCCAAAGCACCGACCATGGATGACTAGCTAAATAACCAAATGTTTAATCAAAGTCTTTGTATGATGAATCCTGTGTGGGACTGCCTTTAAGCCGTGAACATTGTTACACCTCATAGGCTTCTTCTATTTGGTTAACCTGTCTCCATCAACCTGGAAGAGGCAGAGACTGAAGTGTTTGCTGATAGGATTTCGAAGCTTGTTCATCATCTGCTGTCAACTTCTCACCAAATCTGAGCACCTCATGCTCATTCGTCAATGAGAAAGAGGACTTCTGGCAGGGATACCACTGAGTTCACCCCCTCTTATAAGATGTGGCCTAGATAATCAGTGAACTATTTATAAAACAAAAACAAGGACACTCTCCTTGCATAATGTTTTCAATTTGTTAAGAGTATGACTCATCTCTATGTCTTCTTTCAGATACTTTTTGTGGAGAAAATATGCATGTGGCATCTTACCCTGTTTCGTGGTCACATGTAATTGGAGTCTGGCACAGTGAGTCTAAAAATTTCAAATACGGGCAATGGACATCAGATGATGACATAATGACTGACCATTACACTCAGGTACCCTATGTGTTGGGAAATACACTCATTGGTCAAGAAATTATAAGCATGTGTGGGAAAGGAAAGTGAGTAAGAAAAAACTGAAAATCACTCTGCCTGCTTATTGCAGTCCTTGAGCAACCTACTGAGTTCCTTTTGTAATTTGGAACAGAAGGAAATGTTATTCCCTCGAAACATGGCTTAGAGAAGAGGTTTAACCTCCCTGCTTTCTTCTTTACTCAATAGGTTTTCCAGGAAGTCACAAAATCATAAAACATCAACCTTATTTCCATCTTTATTTTTATTGTGGTAAAAAATACATAACAAAACATTACCATTTTTAAGTCTTGTGGCATTAATGTTCAGTGGCATTAAGTACATCCAAATTGTTGTGTAACCACCACCAGAATATTTTCATTTTCCCAAACTGAAACTCTGTACTCATTAAAAAACTATCTGTTCCTCCCTACCCCCAAGCCACTGGCAATCTCCACTCTACTTTCTCTGTGAATTTGACTATTTAAAGTACCCTCATAAAATTGGAATCATACCTTATTTGTCCTTTTCTGTCTGTCTTAATGCACTTATCATATATTAAACCCATGTTCATCCACATTGTAGTATGGAAGAATTTTATCCTTTTCAAAGTCTAATATTTCACTGTCTGTATAGATTGTCTTTTGCTTGTCAATTCATGGATAGAGACATTCTTTACATCAAATGATTGTCCAGTCATACCCTTAGTGTTCTCTTCATAACACTAAGGCATTTGAGTTGGTTTTATTTTTGGACTTTTGTGAATAATGCTGCTATGAATATAAGTACACAGATATCAGTTTAAGCGTCTGCTTTCAACTCTTTTGGAAATATACCCAGAGGGGGAATTGCTGGATCACATGTGAATTCTATGTCTATTAGTTGAGCAACTGCCACACTACATTCTACTACAGCTGCATCATTTCACATTCCCACCAGCAATTCACAACATTTTCTATTTCTTCACATTCTTACAATATTGGTCTGCTTAGAATGTCATAACAAAATACTGCAAGCTGGGTGGATTAAAATTTATTTTTTCCCACATTCTGGACCCTGGAAATCTAAGATCTTAGTAGAGCATGGTCAATTTCAATGAAAGCTCTCTTCCTGACTTGTAGACGGCCTCCTACTCATCATGTCCTAACATGGTCCTTTCTTAGTGCAGAGAGAGAGAGAGAGAGAGAGAGAGAGAGAGACAAGAGTGTGAAAGAGAGTTTTCTAGCATCTCTTTGTATAAGGGCAGCAATCCTACTGGAAAAGGGCCCCAGTCTTAGAACTTTATTCAAACAATTACTTTTTTTAGAAACCTCATCTGTGTTTTTTGTTTTTTTTTTTATTTGGAGCCTCACTCTTGTTGCCCAGGCTGGAGTGCAATGGCATGCTCCTGGCTACCGCAGCTCGACCTGCTGGCCTTAGGCGATCCTTCTGCCTCTGCTTTCCAAGTGGCTGGAATTACAGACGCACTCCACCACGTCCGGCTAGCTATTATGATTTATTGTAGAGACTAGGTCTCAGCAAGTTGCCCAGGCTAGTCTCAAACCCACATCCTCAGGCAATCTTCTCACCTCAGTCTCCCAAAGTGCTGGAATTACAGACTGAATCACCACACCTGACCGAGAAACCTCATCTTCAAATACAGATATATTGTGGGTTAGGGCTACAGACTATGAATTTTATGGAACCATAAACATCCAGCTCATAACATTGTACCATTGCCTCTCCTACCCCCAAATTTTCTTCTCATGTGCAAATACATTAATTCAATACCAAGAACCCCCAGATTCTTAACGTATTCTAGCATCAACTCTAAAGTCTAAAACCCAAAGAGTCATCTAAATATTATCTGAGTATTATCTAAATGCATGAGATACAAAGTATGAGTCATCCTGTGGTAAACTCCCTTTCCAGCAGTCAACCTATGAAATAAGAAAAGTTATATGCTTTCAAAATGAAATGGTAGAATAAGCATAGAAAAAGTATCTTAATCCAAAAGAGAGATATAGGAAAAAAGGAAGTCGTGATGGTTCCCAAGCAAGTCCAAAATCTAGCAAGAGAAATTCCCCATTAGGGCTTAAGGCTGGAGAATAATTCTTCGGCTTGATGCTCTGCCCTCTAGGACCACTTGGGGGCAGCATCACTCGTGGTTCTGTGTGCAACCTTTACCATTCAGCTCAATGGGGCAGCCTCATGAAATGATTCTGCAGAGGTCCTGCTAACATGGCTGTCTTCAGAGGTCACCTGAAGAGACCCTACTCTTTTAACCTAAACAGGAAAGAGCCTTGCCCCCTGAACCTGTAGTGGGAATGACAGTCCTCATAATCTTTTGATCATTTTGGAGGTTGTTCGTTCTTTTCCTTGGAGGATAAAGCATGCTTGCAGTCAAATATCACTATTATTCCATTCTGTAGATTCTAAGAAGTCTGACAGCCTTCCTTCATTTTGTTCTGCTTTCTTCTGTCCCCTTTAGTTCAAGCTGGTAGTATCTCTGCTAGTATAAACTCATCTCTATTTCTGGTCTTTCTGAGATGGATGATTTAATGCATAAGACACATCGATAATATCTCTATCAAATGGTTGTTTATCTACACCCTTAGTGCTCTCTTCAGAAAATGCTTTCTCATTTTTTGCAATATGGATGCACTGATAATTTAGTAGATCTTCAAGTTCTGGTTCTTCTTTGCTTAAGAATTTCTTCAATTTATCACTCCCCTCTTGCATTTTAACATGACTGGTAAGGAGAAACCAGTCACTCCTTTTCTTTGAAATCTTGTCAACTAAATATCCAAGCTTATTGTTCACAATTTCTACCTTCCACAAAACAGTGGACCACAATGCAGCCAAGTTTTTTGGTTCTTTATAACAAAGACTGCATTTCCTCCAGTTTCTAACAGCATGTCTTTCATTTCTGTCTGAAATTATTATCAGAATTCCCTTTAATGTCTATGTTACTAATCAGTAGTGCTACCAAGGTAATCTGCATTTTTTATAGAATGCACTTAAAAATTCTTCCAGTTTCTACCCATTGCCCAATTTCAGAGAAGCATAAAGACTTTTAGATATGTATTACAACAACATCTCAGTTCTTGGTACCAAAATCTGTATTACTGTTCTCAGTCTACCATGATAAAATACCACATCTTGAATGACTTAAACACAAAAATTTATTTTCCCAAATTTCTGAAGACTGTATGTCTAAGATCAGGGTTCCAGCATGATACATGTCTTGAGAGGGTTCCTTTTCTGGTTACAGACTGCTATGTTTCCCATGTGCATATTGATAAGTTTCACAAAATTTAAAATAAAATCTACTTGAAATAAAGCCTACTTAAAATTAATATTAAAAGCTGATGATAGATGAGGCTCGGTGGTTCAGCCTATAATCCCAGCACTTTGGGAGGCTGAGGTCAGTGTATTGCTTAAGCCCACGGGTTCAAGACCAGCCTGGGCAACTTGGCGAGACCTCGACTCTACAATACAAAATCAAATATTAGCCAGGCATAGTAGTGTGTGCCTGTAGTTCCAGCTACTTGAAAGGCTGAGGCAGGAGGATCGCCGGGGCCCAGCAGGTTGATGCTGGGGTGGCCATGAGCCCCTGCACTCCAGCCTAGGCAACAAAGTGAGACTCCAACTCAAAAAAAAAAAAAGAAAAGAAAGACTGATGATTAAAAATTTAAAGATCAGAGGCTTAGTCACTTATGAATAATAATGCAGAAATCTTAAATAGAACATAGTAAATATCATTTTTCTTTTAAGAATTAGACACAAAGGGTATGTGACTGGAAGTCAAGTGTCTTAACATTAAACACTTTAATTATATAATTTACCTTGACAAAGGATTAGAAGTTACAAATTAAATGAATACCTACAGAGCTAAAAATCTAACAAGCTTGTGATATTGATTTCTGCCTTCTATTTCTTTTACATAAAAGTCAACAAACATACTAATTCCATCACAAAAACACTAACCCTATCATTCCAATATAGTAACTCAACTCCATTGACCTCAAATAATCTTGATTTACTTCCTTCAAACTCAATCAACATCATTTTAAAAATAGAAAATGTTTTATAAAAATGATTTCTCTCATTACTTGTGTCCAAAAAGTTGAATAACAAAATCAAAGAAATTTGTCTTTATTTGCATAAAATTTAACACTGTAGAAAACAGAAACATTTTCAATTATCTGAAGTCCTGTATAAATACATTAGTATGTGCATTAAACAATTTCATAAAATGAAAGGCATTTTTAAAAAATTATTTGTGTCTGAACACCTAATGAGTTTCAAAATGTTCTCTTAGTATAAGCTGAAGAAATAAATGAATAAATTAAGTTTAATCATCTTACTACCCATTAATGTATTCAGAGAACTCGGCAAAATAGATGTTCAACTGAATTTTCATCATCAAAATTATTTCTCTAGTTATGTGCTTCATTAGATTCTGAGTTCAACATTGTCCTTTTTTTAGAAAGATCAAAAGGAAGAACTTGCAATCATTAAATCTCAGATAAAGTAATAGGTTTGGCAACAACTTATACATGTTAGTAGCATAACTAGAAATCATGAAAACCTCTCTCTGTGAAGAAACAAACATTTTGTCTAAAGGAGTCACAGCAAAATATTCTGATCAATAACAGGAGCAGAAATGTGAACAAAGTTCCCAGGATTAGCTGAGAGAAAACCTCTCTAAGCTCATTCATGTAGGGGCAGGGAAGGGGCAGTGAAATCAATCACATTTATTGAAAATATTTTCTTTTCCAATTATTTAAATGTTTTTTATTTAATTTCCACCATTTACTTATGATGTAAAGCAGAGGTCCTCAACCATTTTGGCATCAGGGACTGGCTTCGTGGAAGACAATTTTTTCAAGGATGAGTGTGGGGAGGATGGTATCGGGATGATTCAAGCACATGACATTGATTGTTCACTTTATTTCTATTATTATTGCATTGCAATATACAATGAAATAATAATACAACTCACCATTTTTAAAAAAAGAGACACAAATGGAAGTGGTAAATAAAAGAATAGGGGGGCTATGCACAGACTGAAATAAGTGTCAGATTCTGACTTAAAGCCTGACACTAGATGCCACTGTACAATGAAATACATCAACTCACTTGCACTCACTGATAGGGTTTTCATCTGAGTATGCAAGCAATTGATTTAGCAACTGACTGCTAATGCCAATCTTGGTTTGCAGCCAGTTTCTAGTGCTAGCATCACCGTCTCAACTCCACCTCAGATCATCAGGCATTAAATTCTCAGAAGTTGTGGGCAATCTAGATTCCTTCTCATGTTCAGTTCACAATAGAGTTCACGCTCCTATGAAAATCTAATGCTACTGCTGATCTGACAGAAGGTGGAGCTCAGGTGGTAATGTGAGTGATGAGGATCGGCCATAAATACAGATGAAACTTTGCTGATTCAGTTCACCACTCAGCTCCTGCTGTGCAGACTGGTTCCTAACAGGTCACGGTCCATGGCCTGGGGACTGGGAATCCCTGACATAAAGGATAGCATTATTAATCCTGTTTTACAGATAGGAAATGAAATCCCCAGATATGATTTTACAGATATGATTTCTACCACCAAACTGAGAAGTGACAGAGAAAGATTTTAAGCCACCTCAGAACTCTACACTAGACCTGTTCTCTGACCAATAAGAAAAGTTCCTTCCATGGTTTGATTTTTATTTAATCACCAAGTAGGCGTCATCATATTAAGTAATGTTCCATATAGGTTTGACAAAAAAGAGAGAATGAGCCAGGGTTGATGATACCCACTCATGTTTCTTAGTAACAATTAATAATAAACCTTTGGTTCCAATAAGAATGAGTTAGGGAGGGTTGATGCAGGACTCTGATTATCCCTGAACACACTAGATAATTTAATCTGAGAAATGAGTCCAGTACATAGTCATGTACCACCAACGTACAGAAGGGCAGCATTTAAGTACATTTTTGGACACCAGTCTGTTCATTAAAAAGTGCTCAATACCACTTAAAAAAAACTGGACCCTCTCTCTACCCATTTCTCATATCTCAGAAAAAATGAACATTGAGGTTCTTCTCTAAATTAGAAAGCACATGCAAATCCCAACGTATTTCCATAGAAAAATAAACTATAATAAATAAATAAAATGCCAATCATCAAGTCACTGCCCTCCGTCAACTTGATTTTCTCTACCTGGTTTAAATTGTTTGCAGCCCTGTTTTGTGTGTGTGTGTGTGTGTGTGTGTGTGTGTGTCTACATGTGTTATCTAGAAAAGTTGGAATCTTTTTGGTTCTTTGACTACTCATTGAACCATACCCAAAGTAAACCTAAAAGTAATCATAGATAATAATATTGATATTGTAGTCATTTAGTAAAATATCAAATTGGTAGTAAAATAACTATCTTTGCAGATTGTTTGGGCCACTTCTTACCTTATTGGCTGTGGCATTGCATCATGCCGTCAGAAAGGATTACCTCGATATCTCTACATCTGTCATTACTGTCATGAGTATGTATTACTATTTTTCACAGATTTTAAAAATGTGTCCAACTAAAGTAACCTGATCTAGGTTTTCAAACATTATTTTTTAAAAACTCAAAAAAAAATTAATAACAGTTTACCAGTAGTCTTCCTATGTGTCATTGATTCGTCAAATAGTTGTTAGGGAAACAAATTTGCTTAAGCAAAAAAACAAGAATATTTTGAGTTAGTTTAAGGAAAGAAACAAGGATATTTACTTCAACAAAACAGGAGTGTTTATAGAACACAAGGACAGAAATGCAGTGGCATCTCAAAGTAGAAAAAGCCAAGTGTTTTTCCTATACTTAGCTTTCTAGTTCAAATATTGATGTGTGTCTTCTCTAGAAATTAAATTTACATTTTATAGATTCTATCACAGGTACTACTCACAAATCCTAGAAAAATTAATCTGATTCCTTCAGTGAGGGTCAAGTGTACTTTCTTGTATCATCAACTATGGTCATGGAGCAAGATCAAGTTAGACAAGGATGACTGCAGGGCCCAGGCTCCAGTGATGGAAAAGGGAAGAAAAGGGAAGAAAAGGAAAGATTATTCAGAGCTGGATATAACCACCTGATATTTGACAACAAATGCCAGTTTAACATCATTTCTGCTCATGAAAGTCAGTGACAGGTCTTTACATGTCTCCCACAGCTACATGTATTTTCTAGATTAACTCGAATACCTTTCCACCACAATATAAGCTCCAAGCATGGTGTTTAATCACTTCTCTTATGTATGTAGCACAATAAAAGATGTTCAATATAAATCAACGACCATGATTTGATAGCACACTACCATATTTACATTATAAATGAGATCTCCAATATCACTATGGGTTCACTAGAATGTAATATATTTACATATTAACTCTATGTGATTTATTATCTGGCCTTACTATGTCTTGATTTCAATAGTTAAAATTTGTTGGTATTTTATTTATATAATTTGTGCTGGAGATAATAACATCACTTTGCATTTATAAAAAATCATTTGCACTGCATACTTGTAAAAGCTGGTGGTCCGTAGTAAACTTCAGCTGATAAAAAAAGCACAACACATAGAGAACTGTGATAGGGGAATTTTCTTGGCTGAAGATTAGTTCAAGTCTTTCTTACTAAATGCTTTACTAAATTTAGTAATAACTTTCTTTCATAAAGTGAAATTTTAGCAGTTCAGATGTCAAAGGAAGAAATCAAATAACTAATGGTGCAGTAAGTTTTACACATTCTGTTTTCTTGAGGTTAACCCATTGATCTGATATTATCTTCATTTTGTTTTCAGATTTATGCAGGCTAGAATTGTCTTTGCTAAAATGTTTAAGTAACCCATAACTGGAGATTATTATCTACTCTCTCTTTTCCACACCCTAACAGTTTAGTTTTATCCATACTGAAGTACTTTCCTCTTTTATAGACACCATGTGTTTCAAAAAAAGACACTAACGTGCATCAGGTTTCTCATGACATAATGAAAGATTAAATGAAAATATCAATTTGCCTCATTTAAGATTTTTTCTTAACATTGGTAAAAAGCATGTCCTTTTACATGATGGTTAACCAAGTTTTTATGGGTGTTAATTAGGAATAGCATTCTTTTGTAATAGGCCCTAAAGCCCTCTTCTTCTTCTTAGGCTTTGACTATTCAAAAGTCTCAAGTACCATTAGCATGTGACATTCCAAAAACATGTACATTGCTTGAATATTCTTATGACATTCATATTTGCTGGATGTACATGCTGAAAATATAATCACATCTGTAAGACTAGAAAGCTCATACCCATCTTAAAACCTATCATTGGCTCTTTACAAGAATGTTTATACATTTTGTCCTTAAAACAGGTAGTACATAGTAAATCAAGTTTCATATAAATTTTCCAAAGATGGATTTTATTAAATCAATTTTTCTTTTTTTCTTCTTTAAGGGGAAATTATCCTGAAACAAAAAATCAACCTTATAAGACAGGCACCCCGTGTGAAGAGTGTCCACATGACTGTGAAGATAAGCTTTGTAGTAAGTTGTATACATTTAGTTTGCTTAAAGTTAACCAATTTTACCTGGGAGCCATATGTCCTTTAAATTAAGCCTCGAACAATATTTCGCTTTTCTAGCATTGTCATATGAATTTTACTGCAGAAGATATCAATAGTATTTCTGCTTACCCTCCATCCTCAGAGTGACCAAAGACCATTGCTTTAAACTACAGCCATGGAAATTACAGTGTCTAGGTCTGAGAACCTGAGTTCCCACTCAAAAGATTAAAAGACTTAATTAGGGTCAACCTAGGTAAAATGTTAATGTAAGTATAAATTTTTCTCTGCTCTCTGAGAAGTTCCTGACCTCCCTTATTGCAAGCCATAAATTAGGCACATAGCTTTCAGTTGGCCAGGGTCCTCAGATTGCTTGCTGCTCCTTGACTTCCTGGTTTGCCTGACCACTTATCATGGCATGCAATTTTTTACTAAGTGATCTTTTTTCTTCTGTGTTTCTTCTAAAACATCTAAGAAGTAAGCTGACAGTCACATTATTCCTTATAGACTTTTTAAAAATTTCTTAAGGAAATATGACCAAAATTGAAGTATTAGCCAAATGGATGCCATTTGTATGTTTATTTCCTTACCTAGCAAAATTCCCTTTTTCAGAGTCTGTCTGCAAAAGTGATTTGTAAATCCACATGAATAATATTAATTGAGGTAAACTTCAATAAGTCTGTGGGGAAATAACAAAACCAAGAAAAATATCCTGTGACTTCAGACTTGAAAGACCGAAAGACTTATTTCCCTTCCCCTTGCCAGGTTACTCTATTAGCTTTTAAAGAAGGGAAAATGGATTCTTCTTTCTCTGCTTTTTCTCCTTTCTTATTTCTTCTTCTTTTTTCTTCTTTTTGCACTCTTTTCTTGCATTCTCATTTACCTCTCTCTCTCTCTCTCTCTTTCACTTTTTATATTCCATTTTAAAAAATGAGGTTGGAGAGACATTTTCTCCCCCTTGAAGTAAAAATCAACTAATTATCTGTGCCTTGCAGAGAGGAAGGATGTTGAGTGAGTAGAGTTTTTCAATCTAGATGAAAAAAGCAATGTCTGTAGTGGTATGAACAATGTAATAGAAGTAAAAGGAAAGTAAGAAAGAAAGAAATGTTACTAAAGGCAATTGAACTTACCACACAAAAGATATATATCATAAGCTTTTTATTTACTTATAAATGTATAAGACAATAAATATTAAATGCATATAGAAACTAAAGAATGAGGCATATTGGGCAAAAGCAATGCTAAAAATGCAAAACCTGAATATGCAAATATAATTAATTTACCATAATTCAAATAAAAATTATGAAAACAATAAATACTATTTATAATATTGGAAAAATTATATAAATTAAGAATAAAAGAAAAAGTCGGATTAAAACAACATACAGACTCAAAGAAAAAAGCATGTTACCTCTAAAGAAAAACATCCACTGATATGTATTCTCCCAGAACATACATTAAAGAATACATTGGAAATGATGTGCAATTGATTTTTAAAGTAGTAATGACCTTTGCAAATTATTGAATATAGGGGAAAAAAAAGCAGAGATACAGAATCAAAGATTGTTCAGGTAGTAATATGACATCCACACTTAATCTTGCTATTGTGCTTTAAAAAATCTACTGCAGTCATCCTCCAAGTTACTGATAGTGAATCAATTTAACAATTTAGGAAGGTGAAAAGCATATAATGTAGAAGGATACTGATTAAAATAAACAGTAGAACATAAATGTAAATGCAAATGTATAAGATTGATATAAAATGATGCAATGATCAGACTGTAAGTGAAAGGTATAATAGGAAAACTTAAATTGACCTCCAAATTATCAAGATTCAAGACTCAAGAGTATATACCGAATTAAGAAAATCTCAAAGAAGAGAAAGTACATTATGGTTATTCTTGCCTTCATATATAGAATAATATTTGTTTGTACATTTTGACAGAGAAATACAGGTTAAAGAATATCTTAGTAAGTTTTTATAGACATTAGCACAATTTTAAAATGTGATATCTTTATACTGATTGGATAATTTTGTGTGCATTTCTGCATGTGTAAGTACCTAGATGTAGCTGTGTGTATGAATGCCCATGCAACAGAGCAAGATGGGAAAAACAATCATAATGTTAATTGAGATAACAACTGGGTGGAGAAAGATTAAATATATACCCATTATTATATTTCTTCACTCATTTCAATGCAATATTTAGGGGGAATAAAAGATTATGTACTTTTCAAATGCAAGCCATGGCTTTCACCCCTTCTGCATCATACAATGGTGCTTGTCCCAGGTGCAAAAATTCTGTATGGCTCCAAGAAAAGAAGACAATTTGAGAAAGATGCCCTCTTGATGTGACCCGTGCCTTTCCATCTAGATCCATGGGCACCTTTCCCACATATATGCTTCAGACCTTTTCCCCCTATTTATTTAGACTGCATATGTTATGTCTATCCAACTAGATTGTATCCAGTTGATTGTATCTATCTTTTAAATAATTGTTGTTAGCACAGTCATCAAACATATTAATATCAGAAGAACAGTGACTCATCCCTGGAACACTGTAAGTAGAGTGGCACTTTATTGCTGCAATATTTAATAAATGATAATTTACTCCTAGAAAATTAAATGCATGTGCTGTAAGAAATATTTACTCGTTTTTGTACTTATATATGCTTTTTATTCAGTTTTTACAATAGCTGTATATAACTTCTAATAATCCAAAGTAAAACTTTATTATTGGAGGGCACAGCATGAGATAATTCGACTAAAAAATGAAACTTTTATCATTTTTTACTTTTGTGTTGCTATTGGCATCATTGATGCTTTCAACATAACAGTGTAATTAGAAAGATGATTCATCTCCAATCTACATATATTGGATTTAAAAATTTGTGATAAAAAAACTTATTTTATTCCAAGACAAGAATGTTTACTTTTTGCTTTCTTATGTGATCTTAATTCATTACCTGTTTTGCATTCAGGTTTAGCTAACTCATACAAATCAAATTTAATTAGCTATTGTTAGTAAGATTTTTCTTTATATCTTTAAGAATATTGTCTCTTTTCTCAGCATATGTGATTTTTTAAAGACAATATGTTAAAACCATGCCATTTTATTTCAGCTAACCCCTGCCTCTACTATGATGAATACACAAACTGTGATGAACAAATCCAAAGTCTTGGATGCAACCATTCATCATCTGCACTATTCTGCAAAGCTTCTTGTCTGTGTGACACTGAGATAAAATAGCCCTTTGTCATTTGCAACTATATTGTACCGTGAAGATGAGGATGTCTCTGCTGGATCATATCTTTTATAATAGTTTACTTCAGTAGCTTCTGCTAACTTTCATTTGGTTTTAATTGTATTCATGATCCTAACTCCTGTCCTAATACATCCTGAAGCAACATTGTTTTAAACTTTTTTAGTGCTGGAGTAAAGTTTTGAGTTCAACAGCTGCCTTAAATTTAAATCATATGATTTTTAGTTCTTAGATTGACATCATTAAACTGATGGTATAACTGGGTGCCTCAACAGTAGCAAATGCTAAAGTAGTGTCTTGCCTTGTTGAACTTCACTCCTGCTTTCCTCATGTCTCCAGTTATCCTGATGTTTGTTTTCCCAGAACAGCTAATTCCAGTAATAAATCTTCACTTCTAAATTTTACTTCTACTTTAAATCACCCATTAAAATAATCCACAAATCAAACAAAGAGTCCAGTCTCTACTTGCAAGATAAATATTACTTAACTGGAAGTGGATTAAATGTCTCATTGTTTTATCTCCACATCTATAGAAACATTTGTGAAGCAAAAAAAAAAAATTTCAACTTAGTGTGCCATTATTTAACAAATATTTATTTAGTATTGATTACATACAAGGTATATATCTGTGTAGATAGATACCATTGTCTCATTCATTTCAAAGAAATTATAAAAGATATTCAAGAAACATGACATAAGCTATAAATAAGTCTCTAAAGACATGCTGTGTCAGATGAACATAAACAGCTTCTGTTTGGAGATTAAGACAGTGGAACAGCAGAGGTTAGGTTCTACTAACTTAAAATACATTGAAACCTTAGATAATATTGATGGGTCTGATATGAGGAAAGGGAAGGTTAGAAATTTTGGCCTTAATTGTCATATTTTGAGATTGAATTGTTACCTACTATTATATTTCTTCCCTCATTTCAATACAATGTTTAGGGGGAATAAAAGATTATGTACTTTTCAAATGCAAGCCATGGCTTTCACCCCTTCTGCATCATACAATGGTGCTTGTCCCAGGTGCAAAAATTTTGTATGGCTCCAAGAAAAGAAGACAATTTGAGAAAGATGCCCTCTTGATGTGACCCGTGCCTTTCCATCTAGATCCATGGGCGCCTTTCCCACATAAATGCTTCAGACCTTTTCCCCCTATTTATTTAGACTGCGTATGTTATGTCTATTCAACTAGACTGTATTCAGTTGATTGTATCTATCTTTTATTTTTTTGGTTTGGTTTTTTTTTTTTTTTGAGTTGGAGTCTCACTCTGTCGCCCAGACTGGAGTGCAGTGGCTGCTCCCGGGCACCGCAGCCTCGACCTGCTGGGCTCCGGGGATCCTTCCACCTCAGCCTTCCAAGTAGCCGGAATTACAGGCATGTGCTACCACGCCTGGTTGATTTTTTGATTTATTGTAGAGATGAGGTCTCACCACCCAGGCGGGTCTCGAAGCCGTGGGCTCAGGCAATCCACTCACCTCAGCCTCCCAAAGGCGCGGGATTACAGGCTGAGCCACCGAGCCCGGCTTGTATCTATCTTTTAAATAATTGTTGTTAGCACAGTCATCAAACATATTAATATCAGAAGAACAGTGACTCATCCCTGGAACACTGTAAGTAGAGTGGCACTTTATTGCTGAAATATTTAATAAATGATAATTTACTCCTAGAAAATTAAATGCATGTGCTGTAGGAAATATTTACTCATTTTTGTGTCATCACATATTATTATTTAGCCAACCAAGTTAGATTTAGGTTTTAGAGTGATTAAATATGAGCTCTGATTTCTGAGTTTTGGGTGCTAGATAACCAACTAATCTTACAGTTACCGTAACATATTAATCAACACCGATTCTGTGTTCTTACAATATGCTCCCTCTAGACGTCTATGTGATGCTTCTCAAAATGTGTATCCCAATTACATCTCTTCTTACTTTTCGGGAGTCTAAGCATAGGCACATATTTCTTAGGGTTTGGGAGGAAGGTGGGAAGATACATCAATGTCTAAGGAAAATTCAGATAAGCAAGTAACACAACTATGACGTTGTCTGCATTCTCTAATTTTAAATAATGTACTAACTTATTTTATGATAGACACCTGCTATTTGTTAGATGTAAGAAGTATCCCTCGCCCCCCAAAAAAACCTCTGTGTGTATTGCATGAAAAATACCCTGTAATGAGGATGGAGAAGAATGGTATTTCCTCATGTGTAACAATCTTCTACTATCTCAAAGGTTTTCAGAATCACAGAAATCATTCAGAAAATCATAAAAGACCTATTCTTTATTTCATATTACATTGGAAAGAATTGTTATTTACTATGTAACACTTTTCTAAGAAATGAAAACAGTCTTTTCTCTTTTCCAATTACTGAAAATAGAAAAAATATTAACAAATGATTTTAAAGCAGAGACAATCTCCAGTGGCAGTCTATACTATCACAATACTAAATAAATCAATTTTAAATGTCTAATACAGAGAATGAGAGCATAAGCAGAGATGCTGCCCAACCACTATGAACTCAGGGCACAATGAATTCAAGTATTCAAGGTCAATGTAACCTTGAAAAAATGATTTTTTCTTATCCTCATCTGTAAGTTATACTAAGGGATAGTTATTGTATCTACTTCATGGGTTTGTTGTAAGGATTAAATAATTAATATGCAAAAAGCTTAGAAAAATATTTGTTGCTTAAAATGTGCTCAATCACGCATTTATATTAATTCTCTTTACACCTTAATCTTTAAGTTCTACCCTTTAGACACAAGTGAGAGGTGTACTCTGGACTTTTATTCTTTGGGAACTCAGCACTGAACACCTGTTATGATGATAAATAAAAAATTTTATTTCCATTCCAAAAACAATAAAAAATATGGCATAATTTCTTAATACAATAAAAGGACTTTTACAGAAATTTATAGTATAAAAGTATCTTTGATTAAATAAAGCATTCAACTTAGTAGAGACATATGATTTTACCACATTATTTAATAGTTAAATGCAATAACAATGGAAATACCAAGACTAGCTTTTATGGAATTTATAGGTTTATTCTAAATTAATTTGGAAAACAATTATTCAGTAACGACCCACCCAAAAAGAAAATTAAAGTAAAAATTAAACAAATTAAATTTGTTTTTTTCCTAGAAAAATAAATTTGAACAAAATTTCAAAGGCCTCTGTTTGAAGACTAGCAATTTTATTGAAAAAAGATTTTAAAATATAAGCAGAAATAACACAAGCAAAAGAAGTCAAGATTAATTTTTAAATATTTTGCTTTAAAAACTTAACACACAGTTGATGTATGTGACTTATGAACATATTACGTAAGTATATTAAAAAGAAGCTATAGATAAATAGCAATGAAAAGTGGCGCGTTAGATAAAAAGAGAGATAATTACTAAATAGATGCAGCAATGATTGTCATTAAACATAGAAAAGATAATCTTTAATAATGAGAAATATGAATCCAAAATGCAGTTAAAATCCTATTTTTGTCCAGCAAATAATAAACTAATATATGACAAAACATACCATCAAATGTGTATGGGACTAATCATTTGTAGAAAATTCCTTATCTAATGATATCACATGATATTAAATATGAACGTGTTTTTTAATCTATCAGTGTCTCATCAAGGCAGGTATCATTCTGAAATACTCACATGCAAAAATATGTCTCTATTTAAAGATTTTGACTCCAGCAATATTTACAATAAAGGAAAATCAAAAGCAATAAAATAACTTAAGTGGACAAATGGTTAAATAAATTAGGAATCCTCCGTGATATTCAATACTATGCAAGTAGTCTGAAAAATGATAAATATTTTATAATCTGATGATGAGATACAGTTTTTAAAAGGTCAAAATCATGATTAAACATATCACATAATCTAGTCTTCCCTTCCCTCTCTACTTCTGATGCTGCTCTCCTATTTGCTTTTACTCTGAGCATTTTCAAATTTTTACATTATAACATCATAACTGGAAACATTTCATGCTGCTGTGAGTTACTTGAAATATCTGATCCTTTGATTTCATTTTACTAAATTACATAATTTGAAAAATGACAGGTAAATTATTTTATACACAAAGATTTAAATGAAAAAAGAAATGGAAGTGGAAGAAAATATGTAATGAGTCTTTTTTTAACTTTTAATTTTTTTATTTTAAAGATGTGGAGTACAATTCAGCGTTAGGTATACATGTTCATTACGCAGGTACCCTTGTTGATGAGGTGTGCCCCGCTTCCGCAGGCAGATTCCCACTACTGCCAATCCTGCCTCCTGCTCCCCCCTTCCCAGCAGTTTCCTGCTACTGCCAATCCTTTTCTTATAGTATTATGATAATTTTTCATGTTTCGCTTATGAGTGAGAACATGTGATACTCAGTTCTTTGTTTCTGTGAAAGATCACTCAGTATTATAGACTTTAAGTCCATACAGTGAGTCTTTCATGTTGCAAAATGTTCTTAATATATTCAATAATTAAGAAGCACAAATCCTTGCCCTTTTCAAATGAGAACATAAACATTTGTGAATCTGAACATTAAAAACGCATGACAAATAGTATAACTACAAACAAAGTCCAAAATCTTTGGTATTTGTTTTTGGTTTCAGTGTTTGTTTTTTTCTCTTCTCAAAATACTCTTTCCTTCCACAAGTTTATACAAAAAAAAATACCCCAGGTTTCCATCATTTGTCATATCCCTTATGAGAGAGTAGAAACCATGTTGTTTCAAAGATGAAAACTGGTTAAGTGACCTAAATATTCTTTATAGACTAAATATCTCCAAGAAAATGTGAGATACACTCTGGTGTAATTTTTTTTTAATCTGCCCAGCATCACCCCCATGGCCACAATTTATCAAGAGTGTTTATAGTGGCTCATGCTTGTAATCCCAGGATTTGGGAGTCCAAGGCAGGAGAATTGCTTGAAGCCATGAGTTTGAGATAAACCTGGGTAACACAGCAATACTTTGTTCCA